CATCAGCGTTTTGTTGGGGGAGTTTAAGGAGAATCTTTAAGCAGAGTTGGAGGCAGCTGGAAAGCAGAAGACAGGTTTATTGTGAAGATCTGGTCTTGCAAGGGTTGTCCTCAGTACTTGTGTGTGATGGTTTCTTCCATTTCCTCTGTGTGATGTGTAGCCTGAATCCTTCCAGGGTAGAAGGATGGTCAGAAGACACTCAAGACTGTCCCCTGCTCAGAGCAGTTTGTTGGCTGGCCAGGTGTACTGGGAGGGGTTTTTGGACCCCTGTTGCGGCTGTATTACAATGACATAACAGTGTCTTTGGGTTTCTAGGCTATTTAGTATTACCTTATAAAAATAGATATTTAAATGTTCTTTACTAACCCCATGCGTGAACCACACTTCTCAGTGTATTGAAACCACTGGGTAGGACAGCTGAGCCAGCAGGGAGAGGGACCAGCTCAGCCTGGCTCTTGTGCTTTCTTTTAGGCTTGGGTTTTGGCCATGAGTTATGGACCTAGGGCAGGAATTTGGGGGTATTTTTGTTCCAGGAAAAGGGAAAATTAAATAATTATTCACGCTAAATATTGAGGTTTGTTTTGAACAAAAATAGCACCAAAGTTTATAGAAGCCAAGTCTCCAAAACTCCAAACCAAATTTTGCTCCTGAATCATGGCTTTCAGTAGCTCAAGTCCCTTAGAATTATCTTTTTATTTCCCTTCAAGCTTAACCAAATAAATATTTCTATTAAGAATATTATTTTTGGACAACAGAAAGAAAGGGCTGATTTTGCTCCCATGCCCTTTATTTCCATGGGAATAAAAGAAAACTTTACAGGGGGGAGAAAATCTGGACTGGATGTAGTGGGGGGGGGGAATGACCCAACCAAACCCTTGCCTGCAAAGGTGAAGAGTAGTTTGCAAGATTTTCTGCAGGAATTTTTCCCTCATGTTCCCCAGTTTGGTGTATGCTTTACCTATACTTTTCATGAGGAACTGATTTTACCTGGACCTTGCTGCACAATCGCCTACAAAGCCATTACTGACTCCAAGAATTAATTTTCAGGAATAATTTATTTGGTTTGATTATCCACTTCCTGCACCTCGAAGAAGTGCAATAGCTCAGGGAAGGGTGTTTAATTGTGGCTCCTTTGACCCCAGGTGTCATTGCCTGGTGTCCTGGGCTGGTTTTCGTATGGCTGTTGATCCTGTACCCAAGCACCATGGTGCCCCAGCTCCTGCATGTGTGCTAGCTGTGGTTACAAGCACAGAGTTGTCAGAGTCTACTGCTTCTGTTCTCCACCACATGTTCCTCCTCACATGAGGAAATTCTCCCAGGATAAAAGGATTTCCTCCCCTGCAGGTGTAGTTGCCTCATCTTAAGGTACTGAGCTCTTATGTGAGTGACTCAATTCACCTTCTGGTGGTGAAGCTAAGTAGCTGTGATGGGAGGGTCTCTCAAGCTTCTTCTGACGGTCTCCATCTGGGACTTTGGAGCATGGAAGGGTTCAGACAGAGATGTGCTGATGGTGGGAATGAGTCCAACTGTTGCTATTTCAAGGCAGTAGTATACATACAGCATTTGGATGTCCCACGTGTTTGGTTGTTAGTTGGGGTGTTTCAGGGTCACGCTAAGAGCACCATCAACAGGTCATCTATCATTGAGATATCCCTCAGAGGCCAATGCTGGCTGGAGGATGCTCTGAACTGCTCAGTGGGAAAGTCCTTGGGTGAGGAACCAGGACTCCCACCCCCTGTTCTTCCTTGCACATCCCAGGGGTGGCTGAGATACTGCTTCATGACTAAAGGGAGGGCTTTGCAAAGAAAGATGCTCCAAATGCAACTCTGCCCAGTGCAGATACCTAGGCTACTGTTTCACCCAAGACAGGGCAAAAACACTGGTGTCTGAGCATGGCCTCGTTAAAGAATGTGAACATCCCACCAAGTTATCTTCATCTTGCATGCAGTTCAATAGAAACACTTTGCATGTTTTCTAAACCATGTGGTTGCAAAGAGCAGCTTGGAAATGTGAGCTGGGTACCACTGATGTACCCTGCTTGGGTGCATGGAGTGCTTGGAACAGCAGCTCTCTGAGGGTGCACAGCCCCTATTCCTCTGCAGTGAAGCAAGTTCACTCATGCTGTAAAGTGATATTTCTAAAGGAGGGTGCAGCTCTACTGCAAATGGTTTGGGGGCTGAAGGTAAAAAAAGCAGTGAAAATGATTCTGCATACTCTGTTAGGATGAACTGATTCAGAAGGCAGCAGATGCTGGCAAGACTTACACATACTTAGTATATGTGATTTATTTCTTCCTTGTCACCTCATTTTAAAGAGAGATCCCGATTGCATTTGTTTGGTAGCCGTCTTTATTATAGTCTTCTTTTTATAAAAGATCTGGGCCAGAAAAAGCACCCTGAGTGAGAAAGCATATGTGGGAATCTGAGTCTGTCTGGTTTGGCTTTCCTTATTTGATGGTAAAACACAGTTTGTTTCCTGCCTGCCTCCGTCCCACTGTTTTATCCGCCTGTCAAAGCTAGTTTGACATCTGGGTCCTAACCCGGTGAAGTTGAGAGTGATTTGAATGGTCCCATCAGCTTTAAAGTAACTACTCACCAGCTGGAGTCTCAGCCAGCCGGAGATGGGGCCTGAGCTTCTCCCACTGCGTATAAAATGACATAAGATCAGGGCCTTGGACTGTAAACACTTCACACAGTTGGGTCTTCATACTCCGTTGTCCAGCTGAGATGTCTTTGTGCTAGATGTGATCTCAGGTGCAGGCAGCTCTAGACCCAGCCATACTGTTGGGTTTTCATTTCCAACTCTTTTTCTAATGTTTAGACTAATAAAAAAAAGGAGAAAGTGAGCGATAAGCAAGGGTTGTTTCATTTGACTGAATGAAAACAGCCGTTCCTCTTTCATACCCCATAACCCTTTTCCATCCCAACCCATTCTTGCAAGATCAGAATACATTAAAGTCCTTGTATTGACATGAAAATCTCACCAGCCACTGTCTGCAGAGCTGAAAGTTTCCATCTCCCCTTGAGGGGGAATTTTCTTCATGCATCCCGGAGTGATCTTTAGTGACTCCCTTCTTGGGCATCTGTGCTGCTGCCCTCTGTAGTGAGTGGAAAAGTCAGATCCCCTGACTGAAACTAACTGGCCACATTCAGATACTTGCTCAATTTCTGTGTGAAGTATGAATCCATTTTTCCCCTCAGCTCTCCCAAGGTGAAGAAATGGTCCCTGCTATGCCCTTGATATGCTTTTCTCCCTGAAGATTTGTGTCTCTAAGGCTTTGTTTCATCTTTTCTCACCTGCTCTCTGCCCTCCAATCAGTGCCTGCTCTCCCGTTGTTATCCTCACTTAGCAGAAGGGAATCTGAAGCAGTTTACTCCAACAGCAGACCAGGACTGGACCCAGCATGGCTTTGTTAGACCCATGATTCCCTGCCTGAGCCCTGGGGAATGGAAGAAGAGCCGCAAATATCAGCAGGCAAAATAAAGCAAGAACAAAACCACACGCAGACACAAACAGGAATGAGCGATGGTGGGAAACAACCTGGTTGGTGAATTCAAAACCACTAGGACATGCTTAAACAGCTGAAGAATCTTTTCCAAAAGGCTGGCTTGGTTTTTGGTTTAAAAAGGAAGGGAGGAGATGATACAACCTGGTGGGATCACCTACTCACTTCTGTGAAAAAAGACTTTTATCCCGCTCTGCTATTGGAAGTACTTTCAACCAAATTACAGGGGTAAAAGCTGTGATTTTTACTCCATATGGACTGATCTGCTACTGCATTAATGGTATAGACATTTCCATCTGTGCTTGCAGGATGCAGACATGTAGTTACATACAAAGTTGTGAGCTGGCTATGGAAGTTCCCCTGGCTGGTCCAGCCCACCCTCATGCGGTGGCTCCCCTACCTGCTCCAGGCCGGGCTGTCCATGGATGGACATCTGTCTCAGAGGTGATGCCATGCACGGCAGCAATGGGTGAGGATGGTGTGAAAGCCCAAGGACTGTTTTGGTGCCAGTAAAGCAGCCAGCAGCACTCCAGTTCTGGTATTGGCTTATATTGTGGATGGGAGGCTGTGAGTCTGCCAGCCAGCTCTGGGATGTGGGATGAGATCCAAACAGGTTTTCCCTGAAACCCAGCAGGGCTTTCTGAGGCCGGTGTCTTCCTTCAGCTTCAGCCATGGGTTCAGCCCCTCTGCAGTGATAGAGAAATTCCTATTTCTGTCTGACCCTCAATTGCCATCCCTGTCCCACTTTCCTTGCTCAACCTGCAGGAGGTACTTGCGGGCACCCCCAAGCTCTGCGGACCATTCCTTTCTCCTAAGGGAAAAGAAAAACCAAACCAACCAACTTTTTCTCAGTCTTTCCTTACCTAAGAGGTCTCACCAGGCTGCGAAGGGGTTGGTTTTGGAGAGAAACCCCTGGCTGGGCCGGCCTCTGAGCGCTTCTCGCATGGTAAGAAAGACAACGAAATCCAAGCGGTGGGGAGATCCCGGCGGTGGGTTACCTGCTGTGCTGCTGGGGGCTGCCTGCCGCACCAGTCTCGCCCCGGTCTGGCTGTGGGGACTCGCTTTGTTCAGTTTTTCCCCTGGGAGGAAACACCCGTTAAAAATAAAGTAAAAGATGGCCCGGGAGCGGAGCCGGCAGCAGCGCTGGCACCCGGGAACCTCGGGGAGGGACCGCTCGGGGGCATGGCTGCGAGGTAGAGCCTTATGGAGAGGCTGGGGGATTTAGCCATGGGATTCAGGACCCCTCCCCAGGGGCCTCCTCCTCCCGCCGAGGAGAGGGGCCGGGGCGGGCCGGGCACAACACACCCCTCTGGGGGGGGGGCGGCCGCCCTATATATTGCCAAGCTGCTCAGGACGGACCTCCCTACCACCGGGAGCTGCCGTGGCGCCTGCCCCCCTCCCCGTCCCCTCCCTTTTCCCCCTTCCCCTCCCCTGGGGGGGCTTTTTCTCCCGCAGCCCCCCCGTCCTCCGAGGAGGAGGAAGGCGAGGGCCGTATATGAACGCGGCTGGCTTCCCCTGCCTCAGAGGCATGTGCACGCTGCCGGCGCCCAGCCCCGCCGCTGCGGCCAGCCCCGGCTCCCCCGGGCCGCCCCGGGGGTCTCCGTCGGTGAAGCCGGAGCCGCGGGGCGTTGGGAGCAGCCCGCCGCCGCCGCCCCCCGAGGAGCCGCCGCCCCCCGCCGGTGGCCGCCGCAGGAAGCGGCCGGTGCAGCGGGGCAAACCCCCCTACTCCTACATCGCCCTCATCGCCATGGCCATCGCCAACGCCGCCGAGAGGAAGCTCACCTTAGGGGGCATCTACAAGTTCATCACCGAGCGCTTCCCCTTCTACCGGGAGAACCCCAAGAAGTGGCAGAACAGCATCCGCCACAACCTCACCCTCAATGACTGCTTCGTCAAGATCCCCCGGGAGCCCGGCCACCCCGGTAAGGGCAACTACTGGACGCTGGACCCAGCCGCAGAGGACATGTTCGACAACGGGAGCTTCCTGCGCCGGAGGAAGCGCTTCAAGCGCACCGACATCACCACCTACCCCGGCTACATGCAAAACTCCAGTGCCTTCACACCCCCACCCGCCGGCCGCCCTGCAGCACCAGCAGCCCCCTACCCCAACACCCTCTGCTCGCCTGGCTACGGCCCCCAGCTCTCCAGCACTGTCTTCCACCCCTATGCTGCCGGGGCAGCACCTCCAGCACAGCATCCCAGGATGTTCAGCATCGACAGCCTCATCAGCGGGCAGCAGGCCCTGCAGCCCTCGCCGCCATCTGACCTGGGCCACCCATCACTGGGCTTGCCCGGGGCTGAGCTGGCTCCTACCTGCTCCACCAGCAGCTCCGAGCCTCCCTGCTTCCAGGCGCAGCCTGTCAGTCCCAGCTTGTTGGGCCGGGCTGGCCCTAACACCTTGGCTTACCCCTATGCTGCCTCACCCCCACATCTGCCCGTGGCACAGGGCAGCTACTCACCGGGCAGCCCGCAGCTCTATGGGGCTCCCAACAGACTGTCCCTGCCAGCCATGCGGCCTCCAGCCTGTGCTGAACATAGCGAGCAGCTCCTGGGGCTCTCTGCATCGTCCCTCGGCCAATTCGGCTCCAGCAACTCCTACATGAGGCAGCCCAATTTCCCCGCCAGCCTGGAGCGGTACATGTGATGGGGTCAGGAGAGGCTTGGCTGGATGTCCCAAAGCTCCCATAGGCAACTCTGGACATATGGACTTCTCCTTGCCATGGGGATTGGCTGGGGTGGGGTTGGGGGTCCTCAGGTTCTGGCTGTGTGCAGACACGCACTTATGGGGTGACCTAACTCATCTCTTTCTCAGCTTATGTTTAGCTGAAGGAAAGGTGATCTATTTTCCTACCCCATCCTCTCTTGGAAAAGACGTTCTCTGGCTTTGTTTGCCAGGCAGGTCTCCCCATGCCCAGGGGGTGTCCATTCCCCACAGCCCAACCCCAGGGATGCTGTCTGCAGGAGGGCACCTCGGGACAACTCTGGAGCAAGGAGGAGCACACCCGGGAGGTGGGTGCACGGTGTAACTGCAGGAACTGTCTCACAAATGGGCTTTCTTCCCTGGGTTCCTCCTGTATAGCTGGAATGAAAGTTACTAAAAAGACAAAAAACAACCACTAAACCAATTCACTGGATTTTAAATGAATATTTAAGATGTTTATATTTTTGTTTCCCTGTAGGAAAAAAAAACAAACAACACTGACTGCTTCTTTTTGCTATTTTAACAAATAACTTCTACTGTTAGAAAAGACTTTATTAAAATAAAGCTTTTCCTTCCAACATGACCAGTGCTGCTGTTCCTGTGGCTCCGGCTGGACCTTGGAGAGCGGAAATGTTCAACCTTGTAACTGGTGGCAGACAGACTCGTGCTGTTGTTGTAACACTTTATATGTCTTACATGGATAGCGATACTATTTTATTACGGGTTATTAAAAAGCGAACGGTAACTGCTGAGCCATGCAAAGGCTGAAATAAGCTCCCCATCACCTGCAAGGCTCACCTGCGCAGCTCTTACTGGACTTGACGGTTTCCCTTTGCATAGCAAGGAATGCATCTTCCCTTCAAGGAATCCCTTGCAGGTGAAATTCTGGTTTAGCACATCACATTAGGAGATCGCAGCTTTCCTTCCTGGCCACAAAATCAATTAGATTTCCAACCTGTTCAGTGGCCGGGCTGACGCTGTGTATTTACAGCACTGCCTGCCAGACTGTCTTGAAGGCAGAATTCACCATCCCTGGATTTAGCTTTTTCAAATTTAAACATCCTCTGGGTAAAAATGACAACTAGGAATTCTTTCTCATTTTTCAAAGGTGTTCTCTGAAGCGGAGGAGTTTGTGGTCTTTATTGCATCTTCCTCCTGCTTAAGGAGGAGCTGGACAACAGTTGAGCTTTGGGGCAAACTGAGCACCTCATTCCCTGTCTGCTGGTCATGACTGAAAGCAGGATGTACAGGCGGGTACCCAAGGAAGTCAGCTTTGCCCACAGCTTGGAAGCTTACGGTTTTCCATTCTTTTTTCCTATGTGGTCAGTAGAAACTGAGAGTGTTTGAGGCTAGTATGAGTGGGAAGGGAAGAAAATGCTTTTTTTCCTCTTTGCTTTCTTAAAATAGGGGCTTCATCTGTCTCTAAAACACTGATGTAGCCCTGGTCTGCTGCTTTCAGCTGAGCAATGGGCTCTGGGTTTCTTCTCTGGTCCTTCCAGCTTCACCTCAGCTTTCACACTGTTTCCAGTAGTAGCTTCTGTGCTTTTCCCTTAGTGACAGCCCTGTTCGGAATGGGTGTTGGGAAAAAACTTATCCTTTCGAATACTTCGGGTCTTTACAGAAGACATCCATAGACAGAGATCTATGTAGTAAAAGTTTACAGCGTGCCATTCCTATCTGTAGCATACTGTCTGTATAGATGTTGGGGGGATGCTGAAATAGTCACTTGCAAGGACAGTAGAAAGGACACTTGTCATAGCTCACATTCGTTTCCAGGACCTGATCCTGCAATGTTTTGCAAACTTAAGCACTTCTAAAGCCTTGTCTAAGTATCCAGGCAGTCAGAGCCAGACATACTTCCAAACCTCTGGGTTCCCCAGCTTCTCTTCAGCATCAGTGAGTGTTGGGCTGGGACTCTGATGGGTTTGCACCACGAGCAGGATGTTGCTGAGGTAGGAGAGAATCAAGCACTGGCATAAAAGGAAACCAATGTTGGTGGAAGGGGTGTGCAGGAGATGCTGCTGTTCTGCTGGGGTGAGATGCACTGTGAAGAGGCTGCTGAGCAGGGACATCTCAGACCAGGCTGAGCCTGCCCCAGTCACCCTGGAGCCCTGCTGGAGCAGGAAGCCGATGTCAGAAATGGCTTTCCAAGCTTCTGGCATCTCTGGGTGTTAAGTGCTAGTGGAGCCATGGGGATCAGGGTGCCTAAAGGGCTGGGCTGTGGCTTGCTCCTGTCCCCCACCCACCTGCGTCCTCTTGCCACAGGGCTCTCTGGAGAGCAGCACCCAGCTTCAGATGGGGAGGTTCTGCAGGAGACTCATTCCATACCCCAGTGCCTATGCAAGAGAGGTCTCTTCAGCCAAGGGAGCTCTTGCATGAAGCAGGAGTCACTGCAGTGGACTGGATCCCTGGAAACCTGGTTTGGAGAGAGTGGATGAACATATCCTGGTGTGTCACAAACACTGGTGTGCAGTGTTGGGTTTGCATATCTCCCCAGAGCCCTATATCTCTCTTTCAGACAGCCTCAGGCCAAAGCCCCATGTGAGCAACAATAAACCACCCTCACCATGGCCTTATGCTGCCAAACAAGGTGGAAAGCACAGGGAATAGACCCCTTTTCTTCTTTTTCTTGTAGATATTAATCCTCACACGCACAAACCTCTGGCAACTTGTATTGTGATTGTCATTAAACTAATGCCTTAAGAGTGTCTTCTTGGTTAACTTAATGTGTCCCAGCCAGGCTTTTAAGCTTTCATTTCAAAGCTTTGTTTACAGGTAGGGTGAATCTAGCAAATGAGTAGGATTAAAGTGTCATGTAAAGCATGAGCCTTGCTGGGACAGAGTAGTTTTAAGCTTTCTAAAGTTTATACCTGAACCCTCCATGTGTTTTAGCTTCTTTTCAATGTCCCTGTTTAATGAATAAGAGGGATTTGAATGAAACGGGAGTAATTATCACCCAGATTTCAGTTGCGAAGCCAAGTCTCCTTTGAAATCCTCCCCTCTTTACCTGGGGAGTTTAGGGAGTATTGAGTAATGACAGTCCTAGTTCTCTCGATCTTACACAAAAGCCAAAAGCAAAATTTTCTTTACTCTCAGAGATTGTGGAATGAACATCACCCTTCAGAATGATGGCAAGGGGTCCCCTGGACATCCCGTGGTGGGGAGAGCCCCAGCTTAGAATCATAGAATAGTTACGGTTGGAAAAGACCTTAAGATCATCCAGTTCCAACCCCTTGCCATGGGCAGGGACACCTCACACTAAACCATGTCACCCAAGGCTCTGTCCAACCTGGCCTTGAACACTGCCAGGGATGGAGCAGTCACAACTTCCCTGGGCAACCCATTCCAGTGCCTCACCACCCTTACAGTAAAGGACTTCTTCCTTATGTCCAATCTAAACTTCCCCTGTTTAAGTTTTAACCCGTTACCCCTTGTGCTACCACTACAGTCCCTAATGAAGAGTTCCTCCCCAGCATCCCTATAGGCCCCCTTCAGACACTGGAAGGCTGCTATGAGGTCTCCCCGCAGCCTTCTCTTCTCCAGGCTGAACAGCCCCAACTTCCTCAGCCTGTCTTCATACGGGAGGTGCTCCAGTCCCCTGATCATCCTCTGGACTTGTTTCAACAGTTCCATGTCCATTTTATGTTGAGGGCGCCAGAACCATACTATTGTATACCAGTACACAATACTCCAACTAGAGCCCATGAGATGCAGAAGCAGGGGTTGAAATAGATCCTGAACGCTGAAGAGATTTGGGTGGTGATCTGGGCTATCGCCAAGACAGTCTGACTACTCAGGGAAGATCAGGCTGAATTCAGATCTCTCAGCCTGCACATTCAGAAACAAATAACCAAAATGAGCTGCCACTTGGAAAAAGACTCCTCTTTTCCTCTGGGAAATACTGACTGTCCAGGGAGGACCAGCCAAGCTGCCACGTCTGTCTGCACATGACAGTGTTCTGTATGTCTCATGCTTGTACCACCTTTCTGCTGCTTCCCCACAGGTTAAAACAAACCGTAAGAAAGAGCCAATATTCCCAAGCCGTAAGTAGTATTTTCCATCCTGTTGTAAGCAAACACAGCATTAACTGGAGTTTTAGTCGAAACACATTTCCTGAAGAACCTGTCGGTCCCTCTGGTAGTGTTTGATTTTGCCTGGATGTTGGGAGCTGCCCACTAGCAGTCCCAGTGTTGGGAATTTTATACCGTAAGTAGCTTCTATTCTATGCAATGCTTTACCCTTTGCAAATGTGGCTTGAAGCCAGTCAGTGGTGTTTGTTTGAGGTCGAGATTGAGGCAGTGAAGTCAGGTGGTGATGGGGAGATGGGCAGTGGGTGCAGTGGGACTGGGTGAGATTTGCTTTCATAAACTAGCAGACAGGCATTAGCACTGCCCAAGCTCTGAGGTACATATCGGGCTGTAAGGGCTCTGTCCCCACCTCTGCCAAACTATATTTGGGTCGTTTACATGTGGGTCCTTCATACTCGGGCAGGAGGTGGTGATGTTTGAACAGGGCCAGAGCAGCCCTGCCCTGGGAGAGGAATGAGAGGGCTCGATGGCCCGAGGGGGCACAGACACCGTGCTCAGGCCAATACTGACCTCCAGTGGAAAGCCTTGGGAAGCCGCTCCAGCCCCCGCCATGGGCCCAGGCCCCCGGGGTGGATCTTAGTACGTACCGGCAGCATCCCGGCTTTTGAGGTCTGCTTGGAGGCAGGATATCGTGGAGGCTTGGGGTATGGTCAGGGTGAGGGTCTTTATTAAACACGGTGGGATGGTACAGCCTCCAGACTGGGGAATCCCTAAACCACCAATTCCTGACTCTGTGAAGGTTTCAGAAAGGAAGGATTTCTCTGGCTATACCTTCTTTTACCTTCTCCCTAAGCACCCACTGCGGGCTGTCACTGGAGACAGGATACAGGGCTGGGTGATGCTGGCTGTCCCCAT